TTAATTATTAATATTTTGTATCAATTAATTTGCCCATTTCCCTAATATATGATGCACGGTATGGGGTGTGCAATGATTACTATCACTGTCATCCCCAATAATTTTGCATTGGGGTGTCAAATTAGGATGGCCAATGTGCTACGTATGTGCTTTCTATAATGTGAAATGCCACCCACTTGCCCGATTAAAATTACGGTGCTCCAAATATAAGTAATTAACTAAACAAATCATATCATTTCTTTTTGGGCAGAGGATTGCGTTTTTAAAATTGAGATAATTCAGTGGTCAAATCAAAAAAATACCAGTCCCCGTTTGTATAAATGTGGAGCGCATAACCCCGTTTTGTAAACAACCAAATTTCTCCATTATTCCCTCTGCGAGGTGCTTCTTCACCCTTGTCTGACAGGTGCGATATTTTTACTTTAAAGTTTAAAAGCACTTCGTGTATGTTGTCCATTCCTGTTACCACTATAGCTAAAAAGGAAAATTGGATATAGGCATATTATGACTTACTCTGTCTCTAACAAAATTTAACAGAAGTTTCCTTTTAAAGTTTCAATTGTAATGTTGTTCTTCAGGTCATTCTTTATAATCACCAATATTGTGATTTCATTTTTTAATGTTTGCTTTCTTTCGCTCCAGCGATGAGGGACTATGACTTGCCGGCTGATTGGTGTTGTGTATGTGGAGGTGAGGGTTTAGGAGCGATTGTTCTGCAGTGTTATTTTTGCAACATACGAGTCCACACGTTCTGCACCATAGGGGGATGTCTTCCTACAAATCTCAACGACTGGTCGTGTGAGCGCTGTCTGGAAAAAATGAGACTTCATTTTCTATACCAAAATCCATCCCTAGAATGGATTACAGGACAAATTTGTTCCGTTAATGTTGTCGGCCACTTCGCAGGCTATGCTGGGGCCCTGGGGTTGCTTAACCCTGTGCAACATGTTGTGGTGGATGTTCTGGGGCATCCAATGGAAGCTTTTCTGGCACCACCCTCAGTTCCCCCCTTACAAGTAATGGGTGTCCTGGGACATGATGTAGGCAATTATGTGGCCCCAACCTCAGTTCCAGCCGTAGAAGTGGTCGATGAGAATTCCCATTGCGGTGACGCTTATGTCAACCACACCCAAGTTCCGCCCTTTGAGGTTGTGGATGTCCCGGTTGTCGATGTTGTAGGACCTAATGTGGGTGCATATGAGACCCCGGGGTCAGTTCCACCCTTACCTGTCGCGCTGCGACGGTCTTCCCGGATAAAAAGGTTAAACAAAAAATATTTTGGGCATGACTTTGTTGTTCACTTTGGTTTCGGCTGGCTGTCTACTTCTCCTAACTAAAATCCCGCTTCAGGGTTTAAATTTCTGTCCACATTACACAAATTTTTGTAATGCTTTCATAATGTGGGTAGTCTGGGTAGCTTTTTGTTATGTAAAGTGAGTGGTACACTAACGTCTATTGTGTTCAAATAATGATGTTATTGGGTACCCTTAGGGTCTACGATTCCCCCTTTCTATTGTGTTATACAACGAAATATTAATGTTTTTGAGTGTCCTTAATGCTTATGATTTTCACTGAATTTTAAGTGTTATATTGTTAAATGATGTTCCTTTTAAACTTACATTCCCCTTATGTTAGTGTCAAGATATATTCTAATGAAAACATTTTTAGGTTTATGAAGCGGTGTCCAGGAATGTAAGGATGGTTAGGCTTACTAAATCTGTCGTAATAGGGTCCAAGAGACCCAATACAGGTAACGGTTGTCTGGACAAAATTACTTACTTCTGAAACTATATTTGAAAAGTGGAATTCTACAGCATATGCATTGGTGTTAAAAATTTATACAGTCGTTCCCTGAAGTGTTCCCCTGTGTGGCGACAGTGTTGATTTTTTGTGAGGTGTGTCAGGTTTAAAACTGGACTGTTTCCATTATGTTAGCAAAGGAATATTAGTATTAGCATATGTTATATGAGACGAATAAGTTTTCAGCCTTACTTTTGGTGTGAATGGCCATGCATGTCATGGAAACTGACTATGTGGATCTCGGTCGTGAATTTTAGCTTTGTGATGTTTTCTGTTACTCACGACCACTTTGTCTTCCCTTCGTAGCCGCTTCATGCTTAGCCATCTTCCATTTGCACCCATGTGTTTGCAAAAAAAAATGCAAGCACCAGGTTAGGGGCTACTACAAACTGATTTAATCAAGTATAATTGTAGTTGGAAAGTACCTGCACCTTCTACACATCTGCTTGCTGTACAACATCCATTTGGAGTCATTGTTGTTGCACTATTGTGGATCGCGTCCCCCGAATTCTTCCCGGTTGTTGGCCAAATGAAAACACATACCAAGTAGAATTAATTTCATACCTTGCGGTGCCTCTCTGTTTGTAGAGGCACATCTTATGCTTCCTACACACATGAATGCCAAACATTATTCATCCAAGTTTTAATAAAAGGCTCTGAAGCGTATGTTTCACCTAATATTAGGAAGGGTAGTTGTATCGTATTTTTTTTCCCTGTGATTTAAAATATGTTGTAATAATAATAATTTCTTAACGCCTCAAACCTTTCCAAACCTATGAGACAAGAACAGATAGATTTATAGCGCTAGGTAACAAATCATCAGAAATCAACGAATATATGACACTATCCACCTAATCAGAATAAACATTGTATGAGTATGAAATTAGTCAAACAATTAAATTAGGCAGCATCAAGTCACACTGTTACCTCCTCGATCAATTTCATCTTCAAATAGCAGCGTAGAGAATGAAATCAGTCCAATCAATCCTGGCCAAAGCTTTGGAGAACACGGCAGCAGCCGCGCCGCTGGAAGGAGACCCTTGAACGCGGCGGCGAAAGTCATCATCTTCGCTACGGCGGTGAGCTGGCTTCTCGACGTTTTTGGATTGAGCCGGCGGCGGAGGATGGTAGTACATCCTCGAGGTCTGAGGCAGTCAGAGTTGAACCTGGCGGCGATTCTCATTCCGGCGTCCAAAATCCCCATGGATCTAGATCTCTTCTCGAATCCCGATCTCTGCCCGAATGTCGGTCTCATCTTCTGCACCGATTGATTTGGAGAAAATGGAGACAGGAAAGCAAAGGGGAGAGGTTAGAGGAGGAAGACATCCCAAACGTCAAACCCGGTAGTTGTATCGTATTTATTAAGCATTATCAATCTGGGGGCGGTGGTGCTATACATATTTATTGAATGTTTAGTATCTACCATTTAAATTTTTATTATTACTCTTAAAGTGTGACTCTTCCCAATTATAGCTTAGGTGTACATTCACATACGTGGATTGTGTATACTTAATCAGGTGGGTGGCATGCATGCCAGTTTAGTGTTCATTATGATATGAAACGTGGCGTGTATGCAGCTGTAAACAAAACTAATTTACCTAATTTAGTGGGAGTAAGTTCACTTTTGTGCCAAATTAATTTTACCCTAAAATTCCTTTTCAGGTAAATGCCTCGAAGAATTAAAATAAGCTACGTTTTCATAGTGTGTATAGTTTAGAAATTCTGTAAACGAGTGTTCTTTGTAGACATGCATGTACAACGATTCAACTATTACGGAATTATGCCGAAAAAAAACATCGCAATGCACTTCTGGAAATTTCGTGCATGCATGTCTTAGGCATTGTGAGACAATTGCCACAGATCTGGAATATCTGAGGTCATTTTGTGTTGCCAATCAGAATAAAATGCGGCTGACGTAGTCTAAAACATTTTCACATTGGCGTCGTCATTCGTTAGATTCATGAGTTTCAGATAAAAATAAAAAGTTTGGGAAAATTAAATAAATATTAAAATTTTAAATATGTATTTCTTTTTGAAGATTGTCCTACTCAGTCATTTAATATGTCTTGCAATTACACGAATTGCATTTTTATCTCATCAATGAAGATTTGTTTCATTTTGATGTCGCTCTTTTTGTGTGCTTTTGAACCCTTCTTCAGATGTTTATGACCATGAAAGAGTGTTTTGTGCTCCAACCCAACCACTGCGTCCATTCGACCATTTCAGCTCCAATGTTGTATGTCTTGACAAGAGCTTCAATCAACATCAAAGCACATCTTTCAATAACAACATTGCAGGTAACATTACACATCCCATGGTATGTCTTTTATTGTTTATTCTTATATATGAGGTTGGGACAATTTATTTCCTTAATATACGTCCAATTTATTTGGTTAAATTTAGCAACAACGTTTGCTTATCAACACGTTGGGGAGTCATCAACTACGATCCCACCGCCTTCGTCATCGGTGGACGATTGTGATGATGCGGTCGTCGAGGATAGTGATGTAGATGACGAGTACGTTGATTATGATAATTTTCCTGCCCGATCAAACAACATGGCAGTTGGTGCGTGCTAAGTGTATTTCTCGCTTTCATCATTTTAAATTTTCTAAGATCATTTATATCCTTTCCAAATATCGTAACTGCTTTTGCATAAAATAGGATATTGGGATATTGGTGATGCTATCTGTGCTTGCGCATTTTGTAATGCCCTGTTTTGGTTTGAAGAGCGAGTCATTTCCACATCTTCAAAGATAAATCCAAAGTATTCATTATGTTGCTATCAGGGAAATATCGTCTTGCCCCTTATGAAAGAATCGCCGTTACTCTTATCTCAGTTGCTTCGAGGAACAGATGAACGCAGCAAGCATTTCATTGACAATATAAGATCGTACAATAGCATGTTTTCGTTCACCTCAATGGGCGGTAAAGTGACATCAAATGTCACTAAAGGAAAGGCTCCGCCGATGTTTAAGTTGCATGGCCAGAATTATCACCTTATCGGAAGTCTGCTACCTCAGGACGGAGCAAAACCCAAATTCGCACAATTATATATTTACGATACAGATAATGAACTTAAAAATAGACTTTCATCTGTTGGGTAAGAACACTCTACATTTATTAAATTCAACCGTTTATACGGTGTTGTTACGAATTTCATTCATCTTATTTTTCGTGCAGTGACGACGTTGGGAAAAGGAAGTTACATGAAGGTATAGTTATCGGTTTGACTGAGATGCTAAACCGGAATAACGTTTTGGTCAAATCTTTTCGCCTTGCTAAAGACAAAATGGACACAACCAATGCCCCAAAGGTGCGCCTAAAGCTTATTGGAAAGCGTTATGGTGATGCGAGAACATATAATTTACCATCTGTTTCTGAGGTTGCGGCCTTGATCGTAGGTGATTTTGACGAATCATTAGGTGAGAGAGACATATTGGTTGAGACTAAATCAGGTAAATTGCAAAGGATTAATGAATTGAATCCTGCTTATTTTGGTTTGCAATATCCATTGTTGTTCCCTTACGGCGAGGACGGTTATCGGGAGGACACAAAGTTGTCCAGGTGTAATGTTGTTTCTACAAACGGTAGAAAAAGGGTGAGTGTGAGAGAGTTTCTGGCGTATCGTGTGCAGGAACGTTGTGATAATCATTCATATATGTTGAAGGCAAAAAGACTATTCCAGCAGTTCATCGTTGACGGTTACACTTTAGTTGAGTCTGCTAGGTTGAGATATGTTAGAGCAAATCAGCAACAACTTCGTTGTGAAATGTATAAAGGTTTGAATGATGCCTTTTTACGTGGAGAGAATGACTCACGTACACAGGGTAAAAGAATTGTGTTGCCACCGACGTTTACCGGGGGAGCAAGGTATATGATTCAAAATTATCAGGATGCAATGGCCATATGTAGGTGGGCAGGTTATCCGGATTTATTCATCACCTTTACATGCAATCCAAGATGGCCGGAAATAGATCGTTTTCTCAATCCAAAGAATTTGAAATCTGAAGATCGCCCGGATGTAATCAGTCGCGTGTTCAAGATAAAGCTTAACGGATTAATTAAAGATCTTCGTATGAATAAAGCATTTGGAAATGTTAGAGGAGGTAGTCACCATTTTGTATTTCTCCTAACATAAATTTTATAAATTTTTAGCTGACTAAATTTGTTTCTTATGCAGTTGTATACACGATTGAATTTCAAAAACGTGGGTTGCCTCATGCCCATATTTTGTTGTGGTTGTGTAGCGCGGATAAATTACCCTCACCCGATGATATAGATAAGGTAATATCTGCTGAAATTCCAGATGCTAACAGTGACCCAGCGTATTATGCAGCGGTGACAGACTTTATGATGCATGGGCCGTGTGGTCGTGATTTCAAATCCGCTCCTTGCATGGTTGACGGTAAGTGTGCCAAACATTTTCCTAAAAAATGGTGTCCTGAAACAACTATCGACGATGACGGTTATCCTATGTATAGGCGTAGAAATACTGGCCGTAAGGTTTGTAAGAATAAAACAGAATTGGATAATAGGTTTGTTGTTCCGCATAGCCGATATTTATTGATGAAGTATGGAGCGCACATGAATGTGGAATGGTGTAATCAATCCAGGTCCATCAAATATTTGTTTAAGTACATCAACAAAGGACGTGATCGAGTTACTGCGGGGTTCTTTCAAGCAAATCAAGTAGACACACACCAAAAACCACTTGATGAGATACAAATGTACTATGATTGTAGATACATTTCTGCTTGCGAGGCTGCTTGGCGTATTTTTGGATTTGAGATTCAATATAAAAACCCAACAGTTGAACGATTGAGCTTTCATTTGCCTGAGGAGCATAGTGTTGTCTTTCATGATGATCAACCATTAGATGTAGTTGTTAGGGCCTCTTCAGTGAAGCAGAGTATGTTTACCGCATGGATGGAGGCTAACAAGAAGTATCCAGAGGCCCGATTGTTGACATATGCAGAGTTCCCTCAAAAATTTGTTTGGAAAAAGAAAACAAGAGAATGGACTCCCAGGAAACAGGCTTTTGCAATTGGTAGGATCTACTACGTACATCCCGGGAGCGGGGAATCCTATTACATTAGATGCCTTTTAAATCACATCCGTGGTGCAACATCTCACCAGGATTTGAGAACGGTCAACAATACTATTCTTGATTCTTTTCGAGATGCCTGCTACGCGTTGGGATTGCTTGACGATGATAAAGAATTCACTGATGCATTCGAGGAGGCAAGTCATTTCTCATCTGCCTCTTCTTTGAGAATTTTATTTGTAATTTTGTTATGGACAGAGTCAATGGCTCGACCAGAGTGCGTTTGGCAAAAATGTTGGATCTTCATGGCTGATGATGTACAATACACGCGAAGGCGAATATTGCAGCATCCAGGTTGTTGTTTCTACACATTTTGATTTGAAAGCCGTTTTATATTAGATTTATGATTGTGTGACTTCTTAATTTTTTGGGGTTCGCGTGTTGTTGTTCTTCTCAGAATTGACTTTGCCAGACGAACAATTGGAAAAATTCGCTTTGGAGGAAGTAGAGAGATTGTTACAAAGCCGTGGTAAGAGTTTGCGTGATTACCCGCCAATGCCTACTGTTGTGTTGGATTCACTACTTTCCTCTAATGATAGACTCATCTATGAGGAATTGCGTTACGATCGACTTGCAATGAGTGAAGAACATTCTACTTTGTTTAAATCTCTTACGGATGAGCAACTGAGAGTATATGAGACTATAATGCAGTCTGTTGAGAAAGAAGTTGGCGGCATTTTTTTTGTGTATGGTTACGGAGGTTCAGGCAAAACTTTTGTATGGAAGACGCTCTCTACTGCCATTAGGAGTAGAGGTGAAATTGTTCTTAATGTCGCCTCAAGTGGTATCGCATCTCTTCTTTTGCCGGGTGGACGTACAGCTCACTCCAGATTTGCAATACCTATAAGTTTGAATGAGGACTCTACCTGTAATATTAAGCAGGGCAGTCCACTGGCAAAACTTATTGTACGTTGTAAGCTTATAATATGGGATGAAGCACCAATGTTACATAAGTTCTGTTTTGAAGCGTTAGATCGCAGTATGAGGGACATAATGCAATTTCACAAACTCAATAGTGGCACTCTTCCTTACGGTGGGAAAACAATTGTATTTGGTGGGGATTTTCGTCAGGTGCTACCGGTGATACCTCATGGTAGCAGACAAGATGTTGTCAATGCCACGATTAATGCATCGTACCTATGGTCTGAGTGCACAGTGCTTCGTTTGACAAAAAACATGCGATTGCAAAACATGACTAATCCGGATGATTCTTACGATTTGAAGATATTTTCAGAATGGATCGCAGGCATTGGTGACGGTGTTGCAGGAGAAAGTAATGATGGTCATGTTAGTATCACTATCCCGGAAGATCTATTAATACGCTCAACTGGAGATCCTATAGCAGCAATTGTTCAAACCATCTTCCCGGAGTATGTTGAATCTGCAGAAAATATAAGTTGTTTGCGTGATCGTGCCATTTTGGCACCTACGCTATCTGTTGTTGAGGCTATTAATGATTATATGACAAGTCTGAATGTTGATCAAGTATCAAGAACATATCTTAGTTCTGACAGTGTTTCTAAAGTAGATTCTACGACTGACCTAATGGCTGAATTGCACACACCGGAGTTCTTGAATAGTATAAAACTGTCTGGTGTGCCGAATCATGAACTAACGCTAAAGGTTGGAACTCCTGTAATGCTATTGCGCAACATAGATCATTCAATGGGGCTGTGTAACGGAACCCGTCTAATTTTAACGAGGCTCGGCGATCATGTTTTGGAGGGAAGAATATTAACTGGAGTCAGTGCTGGACAGATAGTTTTAATTCCAAGGTTGTCATTGACCCCCTCTGATTCTACTTTGCCGTTCAAGTTTCAGAGAAGACAGTATCCCATAATGACATCATATGCCATGACAATAAATAAGAGCCAAGGTCAATCTTTGTCCCGCGTAGGATTGCTGTTGAAGAAACCAGTTTTTACCCACGGACAGCTGTATGTTGCAGTTTCTAGGGTGACCAATCGTCGTGGTTTGAAAATTTTAATATGTGATGCAGATGGAAAGAGTGCTTCTGAAACACAAAATGTTGTGTACAAAGAAGTGTTCAACAATGTTTGATAGAGTGGCATCGAATAAAGTTATACAATTACGCAATGTAATAGCATCAATAATTGTTATGATGTTTCCATGCTTTTATTTGCTGTTTAGTGCTCTCTTCATAATCGTAATATAACATGTATGCTCATCGTTTATTGCTTTTTCCAGTTACCTAAGCCTACATGTAATGTTAATTGTCCCATATTACTGAGACAAATGTGATGTCCCCAATTTATATATGTTTAGTTGTTTGCCTCTAAGTGTAGTGGAAATTAAAGTAACTTTTTTCAACCGTGCATCGCACGGGTGAGTTACTAGTTAATAATTAAAACAAAGAAAAGTTAAATTCGGGCGAACGGATGCCCTCATATACCAACCACTATTGGGGGCAAAACTGACAATTTAACAGAAGAACACAAAAACTAGGAAGAGGAAAGCAAAAATAATTGCCGGAGTCTGCAATAGAAGAAAAAAACAACAAGGTTACAAAACTGAAAAATCCCGTCCGGAGAAGATCAACGGCGGATATCTGGAAATCACTGTCTCCTCCCTGTTCCGGAAACTCAATCTTCAGTTTAATCAGCGATTCGGATCATCTTGGCCGGCTGTATTTTGGATCATTCTGTTTCACCATAGCGTGTGTTTCAGTACTTTGATCGATTTCTGTATTTTAGTCATCTGTCTAGGTTTCTAGAAAAAAAATCTGATCTTTTGTAGTTTTAGTAATTAGTAATACATTGTTTGTTTCGGCCTGAGAAGAATCTTAGTCCAGACACAACAAAGTAACATCTGCTCACTGGGGATGGATCTAATATTGAAGAGCACAAGTTATTTGTAGAGTGAATTGGGTGTGAATGAAGATGGGTTTAGAATCTTCCGGTGAATTCTTCTTGAATTTTCCCGAAGATTAACAGCCCTATGCTGGGGTATCAAATGGTGGGCTGCCTTGGATAGTTTATAGCTTTGGATAACTTGTATATTGCTATTAAAGTAGATTTCTCTATTAATGGATGATGCCAGTACTAGTTCTGAGGAAGGGACACAATGTAAGTCCCAGGAATCAGTATCCAAAAGTAGCTCCTCCTCCCCCTCACCATCGCAGTCATCATCTGTGTCACATGCCACTTCATGGCGCCCAAGTCAGCTCGCCTTCGTCCCTTTTTCAAAAGGTTTTCTAGATTCCAAGCCTGAGAGCTTGGGCGTGGTTGTCAGAAGACCTGTAAGTACTTTCTTAAGCTCATCATTCCATTTTTGGGTTTTTGCACGTGTTGAGCCAAATGAGTTTTTTTTTCCAGATCTGCCGTTTCTTTTTGTTTCCACCTTCCATTAGTTATGCCTCACTAAACCTCTTACAATCAAAACAGATGTTATTAATTATACTATTGCTGTTCTGTATTGCCTAGGTTCGCATTTTATAAACCTCTTATTTTATGTCGTTACTACACTAGTATTTTATAAACCTTTTTATGCATTTTTTTCATGCTCGTGCTCTTCATCCCTAAGCTTCCTAAGAAGTGTCCTGCTACGAAGTTTTTACCAAAATGAAGGGGGGAACATTAGTGTGCTACTTTTTGCTTTTCTCTTCCTGGCAGACTGACCTTTAATGAGTTGTTTTACTCAACCACTAATGGTTCCATGGTTATGCAGTTTTTTTGTTCATCAGTTACAAATATTAAAATGAACACAGTATACTTATACCCTTCATATTTAGCATCAAATTTAAAGCAGAAGAACTTGGCAATGTAATGCAATAAAAAGCAATTGTACAAACACATACATAAATGAAGAAATTTACTACTGTTGCTTTAGTCGAAACTACATACTTTGCTTTTGTTGTTGGCAGACGGACGGTTAATGAGTTGTTTTTCTCAACCACTGATGGTTCTTTGGCTATGCAGTTTTTTTGTTCACCAGTTACAGATATTGATACGAACACACTATACTTAGGGCATGTTTGGCACAACTAGCTGAAAAGATACTTTTGTGAGCTTTTTAATAACCGTTAGCTTTTAGTGACTGAAAAGATCTTAAAAAGAAAAGGTGGTAGCTGTTTGATAAAAAGCTGACTGTTTGATTTAGTTCGGTTTGGTATACAAGCTGTTAGGATTAATTAATACTAAAAGTCACTAGCTTTTCTTAGATGCTACTCCCGGTAGCATCTCAAAAAAGATCTTTTAATTTTTGAAAAACTCTTAAATATTGTCATGCCAAACACACAACCAGAAGCTTTTAGGAACTTTATGAACAGTACAAAAGCTAGAAGTCAGGGA